TCCAGCTCGGCTTGCAGCAGCGCCGAACGCCGCTCTGCCAGACCGGCCTGCTCCCTCAGCTCCCCCCGCTCCTGGGACAACTCATCCACCTGCACCTGGAGCTCCTGGGCAACACAGCACAGCCAGGCCAGTCATCTCAGACAGAGCCAGCTGAGTGGACACATGCCAGCCCTTAGAGGGAACTGTGAGTGTGGAGAGCATTTCAGTTTTATTAAAACCATAACAAATCATATTTCATTCAATATTTTATGGAGCTCAAAACTGGTCCCATGTGCTCATATGTCTATATACTGTATGTGGGGCCCCAACTACCTCTGTTGGTAAAGCATGAGACTCACAATCTCAGGGTAGTGGGTTCGTGTCCCACGTCGGGAGCCAGGTCCTCCATGGTGGAGGCTGGGCACAAGGCTAACAGCCCTGTCCCGTAAAAAAACAATGTTACAGTAACAGCAACACGATGTTGCTGCCCCTACAAGCCGGAAGGCATAATGGGCAAACATCCATCCATACCGTATGTCAGACTGAGTAGTGGCTGATCTCAAAGGGTGAAACACTTGAGTATAAGCGGAGTTTCAGCTGTTCTGTACTTATTGTTAGAAGACGAGTACTTGTGTGTGAGCCCTCGCTCACCTTGCTCTGCAGCTGCAGGGCGCGGGTGCTCTTCTGGGCCTCTGCAGCCTGCCGGTGCGCGTGGTTCAGCTGGATCTCCATCTCGTTCAGGTCTCCTTCCATCTTCTTCTTCACGCGCGCCGCTTCCGTGCGGCTCTTCACCTCGGCGTCCAGGGCGGCCTGCAGCGTCTCAGCGGCGCGCTGGTAACTCTTCCTGGGGGGTGGAGCAGGAGGATCTGCTGCATGCTCATGAATGCATGGCTTATCACACAGCGGTGTGTGTAAGTAACGAAGTGTAAAAAATTTAGCACTGAGCATAGGTCCGTTTTAAATGCATGAAGATTGTAATGTAAAAATGCTGTAACTGCTTATCTTCCTGTAGTTTGCAGGTTTACCTGTAGTTTTCAATTTCCTCCTCTTTCTCTGCAACCTTTCTCTCAAAATCTGCCTTTACTTGAGACAGCTCGAGCTGTACTCGCAGAGTCTTGCTTTCTTCATGTTCAGATGCTGCCTGGAAGGAAGACACAACAATGGAGGAAATCAAAGGCATAGTTCTAGTTATACTGTATACACTTATATACTGGTGGCTGCACTTCCCCCTTACCTCAGCCTCCTCCAAAGCAGTCTGGGTCTCCGCCTTCTCCTGCTCCAGCTGTTTCTTCATCTTCTCAACCTCCTGGATGCTTTTCGTCCTTTCGCCTATCTGGTCTGTCAAATCTGCAATTTCCTCTGCGAAACAAGGAGCGAAGTGTTAAGGGAAATCGTACCTGTTGCCCTTAAGCTGAGCACGGCGAGGCTTCTGGAACGTCATCGGCACGTTTCTGATGCACAATGCTCAGTCAGCCTCCCTCACCATCTGTCTTCCCGCCCCAGCTGATTCTCCGGGACGATGTCCAGTGTGTCCCCTCATGTCCCAGGGCCGGAGAAACTGACTTCCGCAGGGAGTGGCAGAAACAGTGGGGACGGGGCCTGTGCTGTGGCACTGTGTGAAAGAGGGCTACCCGGTCCTATACCTCACTGTTCACCTCCGCGTTCAGAATGCAGAACGTTCCTGACACTTGCGTTTCTACTCCGTGCGAACGCAGCGTCAGAACAGGTCGGGGTTTTTTTTTTTTTCCTTGACCAAATCGGTTCCCTATGCTTGGTAACGGGATCCAGAGATGAACCCTGGATTAGTTCCGGTTGACCTGCGGCCTCAAACGGCAGGGCTGGCTGTGGGAGGCCGGGGGAGAAGGAGCAGCGGTTGGGTAAAAAACCGGCGGCGCTGACCTTGCAGGTTCTTATTCTCTCGCCTCGCGGCCTCCAGGCCGACCAGGGCCTCCTCGTACGCGTGCTTCATCTTGAAGAGCTCGGCGCTCAGGGCCCGCGCCTCCTTCTGCGACGCCTCCAGCTCCGCCTGGCTCTCCTCGTGCCTCTGCTTCCCCTCGGCCAGCAGCCTGTCGAAGCCGCGCTGCCTCTTGTCCAGGGCGGCCGCCGCGGCGCCGGCCCTCTCCAGCTGCAGCAGCAGGTCCTCCAGCTCCCCCTGCAGGCGGCCGCGCGCCTTCTCCAGCGCCGCGGCCCTGCCGTGGGCCGCCCCCACGCTCTCCTCCGCCTCCTGCAGACGCGCTGCCAGCTTCCTCCTACAGGGGCAGGGAGCGGATCCGCCCTGAAGGCACTGCCATGCCCGCAGGGACGGGACTGGCGCTCTCGGGGGAAGAGTTATTAAACCGCATGTCACTCGTGCTCATTTAGGCTGGATTTTCTGTCTGTAATGTAAATATGCTTCATATTTACATACTGCGCAAATCTCTTTATTTCATGTACGGGGGGCTTGCACGGAGAGGAGGTCTGGCTTGTGTTTGTGATTGGAGACAGGTGCATGAGAAAGTGTGTGTTGGTGTTCGTGCGTATGCGTGTGCGCGCGCAGGTGTGTGTAGATGTAAATGTGTACACTGTAGTTGTGTGTGCACGTGTGTGTTTGTGTGTGTGTGCACAGGTGTGTGTAGATGTGAATGTGTACACTGTAGGTGTGTGTTTGTGTGTGTAGATGTAAATGAGTACACTGTAGTTGTGTGTGCGCAGGTGAGTGTAGATGTAAATGTGTACACTGTAGTTGTGTGTGCACGTTTGTGTATGTGTATGTGCACAGGTGTGTGTAGATGTGAATGTGTACACTGTAGGTGTGTGT